TGGGTGAGTGGGTGAGTGTGTGAGTGGGTGAGTGGGTGAGTGAGTGGGTGAGTGAGTGGGTGAGTGTGTGAGTGAGTGAGTGAGTGTGGGGAGTGGGTGAGTGGGTGAGTGTGTGAGTGGGTGAGTGTGTGAGTGGGTAGGTGAGTTAGTGAGTGAGTGGGTGAGTGAGTGAGTGAGTGGGTGATTGAGTGAGTGGGTGAGTGGGTGAGTGAGTGACTGGGTGTGTGAGTGGGTGAGTGAGTGGTGAGTGGGTTAGTGAGTGGGTTAGTGAGTGTGTGAGTGAGTGAGTGTGTGAGTGGGTGAGTGAGTGGGTGAGTGAGTGAGTGGGTTAGTGAGTGTGTGAGTGGGTGAGTGAGTGAGTGGGTGAGTGGGTGAGTGAGTGTGTGAGTGAGTGGGTGAGTGAGTGAGTGGGTGAGTGAGTGAGTGAGTGTGTGAGTGGGTGAGTGAGTGTGTGAGTGGGTGAGTGAGTGGGTGCGTGGGTGAGTGAGTGTGTGAGTGGGTGAGTGGGTGAGTGAGTGGGTGAGTGAGTGGGAGAGTGGGTGAGTGGGTGAGTGAGTAAGTGAGTGGGTGAGTGAGTGGGTGAGGGAGTGAGTGGGTGAGTGAGTGATTGGGTGAGTGGGTGAGTGAGTGGGTGAGCGAATGGGTGAGTGAGTGGGTGAGTGGGTGAGTGAGTGAGTGGGTGTGTGAGTGGGTGAGTGAGTGGGTGAGTGGGTTAGTGAGTGGGTTAGTGAGTGTGTGAGTGAGTGAGTGTGTGAGTGGGTGAGTGAGTGGGTGAGTGAGTGAGTGGGTTAGTGAGTGTGTGAGTGGGTGAGTGAGTGAGTGGGTGAGTGGGTGAGTGAGTGTGTGAGTGAGTAGGTGAGTGAGTGAGTGGGTGAGTGAGTGAGTGGGTGAGTGTGTGAGTGGGTGAGTTAGTGTGTGAGTGGGTGAGTGGGTGAGTGGGTGAGTGAGTGGGTGAGTGAGTGGGTGAGTGAGTGAGTGGGTGAGTGAGTGAGTGGGTGAGTGGGTGAGTGAGTGAGTGGGTGTGTGAGTGGGTGAGTGAGTGGGTGAGTGGGTTAGTGAGGGGGTTAGTGAATGTGTGAGTGAGTGAGTGTGTGAGTGGGTGAGTGAGTGGGTGCGTGAGTGAGTGGGTTAGTGAGTGTGTGAGTGGGTGAGTGAGTGAGTGGGTGAGTGGGTGAGTGAGTGTGTGAGTGAGTGGGTGAGTGAGTGAGTGGGTGAGTGAGTGAGTGAGTGGGTGAGTGGGTGAGTGTGTGAGTGGGTGAGTGGGTGAGTGAGTGGGTGAGTGAGTGGGTGAGTGTGTGAGTGCGTGAGTGGGTGAGTGAGTAAGTTAGTGGGTGAGTGAGTGGGTGAGTGAGTGAGTGGGTGAGTGAGTGAGTGAGTGGGTGAGTGAGTGGGTGGGTGAGTGAGTGAGTGGGTGAGTGAGTGAGTGGGTGAGTGTGTGAGTGGGTGAGTGAGTGTGTGAGTGGGTGAGTGAGTGGGTGAGTGGGTGAGTGGGTGAGTGAGTGGGTGAGTGAGTGTGTGAGTGGGTGAGTGAGTGGGTGAGTGGGTGAGTGGGTGAGTCAGTGTGTGAGTGGGTGAGTGGGTGAGTGAGTGGGTGAGTGAGTGGGTGAGTGTGTGAGTGGGTGAGTGGGTGAGTGGGTGAGTGAGTGAGTGGGTGAGTGAGTGGGTGGGTGAGTGTGTGGGTGAGTGAGTGAGTGAGTGGGTGTGTGAGTGGATGAGTGAGTGAGTGGGTGAGTGAGTGAGTGGGTGAGTGAGTGGGTGGGTGAGTGTGTGGGTGAGTGAGTGAGTGGGTGAGTGGGTGAGTGAGTGGGTGAGTGAGTGAGTGAGTGGGTGAATGTGTGGGTGAGTGAGTGGGTGAGTGAGTGAGTGGGTGAGTGAGTGGGTGAGTGTGTGAGTGGGTGTGTGAGTGAGTGGGTTAGTGCGTGTGTGAGTGGGTGAGTGAGGGAGTGTGTGAGTGAGTGGGTGAGTGGGTGAGTGCGTGAGTGGGTGAGTGAGTGAGTGGGTGAGTGTGTGAGTGAGTGGGTGAGTGGGTGAGTGGGTGAGTGAGTGAGTAAGTGAGTGGGTGAGTGAGTGAGTGAGTGTGTGAGTGAGTGGGTGAGTGAGTGAGTGGGTGAGTAAGTGGGTGAGTGAGTGAGTGAGTGTGTGAGTAAGAGAGTGAGTGAGTGTGTGAGTGGGTGAGTGAGTGAGTGGGTGGGTGAGTGTGTGAGTGAGTGGGTGGGTGGGTGACTGTGTGAGTGAGTGGGTTAGTGAGGGCGTGAGTGGGTGAGTGAGTGGGTGAGTGTGTGAGTGTGTGAGTGGGTGAGTGAGTGGGTGAGTGGGTGAGTGAGTGGGTGAGTGTATGAGTGTGTGAGTGGGTGAGTGAGTGAGTGAGTGGGTGAGTAAGTGGGTGAGTGAGTGAGTGAGTGGGTGAGTGAGTGGGTGAGTAAGTGGGTGAGTGAATGAGTGTGTGAGTAAGTGAGTGAGTGAGTGTGTGAGTGGGTGAGTGAGTGAGTGGGTGAGTAAGTGGATGAGTGAGTGAGTGTGTGAGTAAGTGAGTGAGTGTGTGAGTGGGTGAGTGAGTGAGTGAGTGGGTGAGTGTGTGAGTGAGTGGGTGGGTGGGTGAGTGTGTGAGTGAGTGGGTTAGTGAGTGTGTGAGTGGGTGAGTGAGCGAGTGGGTGGGTGAGTGAGTGTGTGAGTGGGTGAGTGAGTGCGTGAGTGGGTGAGTGAGTGTGTGAGTGTGTGAGTGAGTGGGTGAGTGGGTGAGTGAGTGAGTGGGTGAGTGAGTGAGTGAGTAAATGGGTGAGTGAGTGAGTGTGTGAGTGGGTGAGTGAGTGCGTGAGTGGGTGAGTGAGTGGGTGAGTGTGTGAGTGTGTGAGTGGGTGAGTGAGTGGGTGAGTGGGTGAGTGAGTGGGTGAGTGTGTGAGTGTGTGAGTGGGTGAGTGAGTGTGTGAGTGTGTGAGTGAGTGTGTGAGTGAGTGAGTGGGTGAGTGGGTGAGTGAGTGGGTGAGTGTGTGAGTGAGTGTGTGAGTGGGTGTGTGAGTGGGTGAGTGAATGAGTGGGTGAGTGGGTGAGTGAGTGGGTGAGTGTGTGAGTGGGTGTGTGAGTGGGTGAGTGAGTGGGTGAGTGCGTGAGTGGGTGAGTGAGTGTGTGAGTGAGTGAGTGTGTGAGTGGGTGAGTGTGTGAGTGGGTGAGTGAGTGTGTGAGTGGGTGAGTGAGTGAGTGGGTGAATGGGTGAGTGAGTGGGTGAGTGTGTGAGTGAGTGTGTGAGTGGGTGTGTGAGTGGGTGAGTGAGTGAGTGGGTGAGTGGGTGAGTGAGTGAGTGAGTGGGTGAGTGGGTGAGTGAGTGGGTGAGTGAGTGGGTGAGTGTGTGAGTGAGTGAGTGTGGGGAGTGGGTGAGTGGGTGAGTGTGTGAGTGGGTGAGTGGGTGAGTGAGTGGGTGAGTGAGTGGGTGAGTGTGTGAGTGAGTGAGTGAGTGTGGGGAGTGGGTGAGTGGGTGAGTGTGTGAGTGGGTGAGTGTGTGAGTGGGTAGGTGAGTTAGTGAGTGAGTGGGTGAGTGAGTGAGTGAGTGGGTGATTGAGTGAGTGGGTGAGTGGGTGAGTGAGTGACTGGGTGTGTGAGTGGGTGAGTGAGTGGTGAGTGGGTTAGTGAGTGGGTTAGTGAGTGTGTGAGTGAGTGAGTGTGTGAGTGGGTGAGTGAGTGGGTGAGTGAGTGAGTGAGTGGGTTAGTGAGTGTGTGAGTGGGTGAGTGAGTGAGTGGGTGAGTGGGTGAGTGAATGTGTGAGTGAGTGGGTGAGTGAGTGAGTGAGTGGGTGAGTGAGTGAGTGAGTGTGTGAGTGGGTGAGTGAGTGTGTGAGTGGGTGAGTGAGTGGGTGCGTGGGTGAGTGAGTGTGTGAGTGGGTGAGTGGGTGAGTGAGTGGGTGAGTGAGTGGGAGAGTGGGTGAGTGGGTGAGTGAGTAAGTGAGTGGGTGAGTGAGTGGGTGAGGGAGTGAGTGGGTGAGTGAGTGATTGGGTGAGTGGGTGAGTGAGTGGGTGAGCGAATGGGTGAGTGAGTGGGTGAGTGGGTGAGTGAGTGAGTGGGTGTGTGAGTGGGTGAGTGAGTGGGTGAGTGGGTTAGTGAGTGGGTTAGTGAGTGTGTGAGTGAGTGAGTGTGTGAGTGGGTGAGTGAGTGGGTGAGTGAGTGAGTGGGTTAGTGAGTGTGTGAGTGGGTGAGTGAGTGAGTGGGTGAGTGGGTGAGTGAGTGTGTGAGTGAGTGGGTGAGTGAGTGAGTGGGTGAGTGAGTGAGTGGGTGAGTGTGTGAGTGGGTGAGTTAGTGTGTGAGTGGGTGAGTGGGTGAGTGGGTGAGTGAGTGGGTGAGTGAGTGGGTGAGTGAGTGAGTGGGTGAGTGAGTGAGTGGGTGAGTGGGTGAGTGAGTGAGTGGGTGTGTGAGTGGGTGAGTGAGTGGGTGAGTGGGTTAGTGAGGGGGTTAGTGAATGTGTGAGTGAGTGAGTGTGTGAGTGGGTGAGTGAGTGGGTGCGTGAGTGAGTGGGTTAGTGAGTGTGTGAGTGGGTGAGTGAGTGAGTGGGTGAGTGGGTGAGTGAGTGTGTGAGTGAGTGGGTGAGTGAGTGAGTGGGTGAGTGAGTGAGTGGGTGAGTGGGTGAGTGAGTGTGTGAGTGGGTGAGTGGGTGAGTGAGTGGGTGAGTGAGTGGGTGAGTGTGTGAGTGCGTGAGTGGGTGAGTGAGTAAGTTAGTGGGTGAGTGAGTGGGTGAGTGAGTGAGTGGGTGAGTGAGTGAGTGAGTGGGTGAGTGAGTGGGTGGGTGAGTGAGTGGGTGGGTGGGTGAGTGA